TCTCAATAAGATCAATGGGGAGAAATGACAAAAAAATAGCACAGCTTATTAAAAACAGTCAAAAATCTGAAAAAAAATGGGAGCTATAATATTGTACGTGCAATAAAAATGGCATGTAGTTCTGGTCATACCCAGCCGCGCCGCCTCATATTGCAGCGCTGCAGGCCGCAGTCCCTCAGTCTAAAACGCCACGATCATTGAATTACGCTTCGTAAGCAAGTTGTTATATATAATTATGACTCTTTTGAAAATTGTATACGCCCACTTATTTTTGAAAGCTGACCAACCCAGCCTTCCCAAATTTTCCCTTCATAAAAAGCAATGTTTTTTTCTCCACTTCAACTCTTTTCCGGTTTTTACTTTCACCTTGGAGTTGTAACCTCGCGGCACCAAGGAACCCATAATTTGCTCGTCATTCCATAGTCACAACGTCAAAGACTTGTTTCTTTCCAAAACAGTTTGCGATTGATGAGGAAGTGGAACTGTCAATCATGTCTTTGTTTACAGGAGGGCGCGCTAAGACCATATATGTTCTTAAGAATAATCTCTTTTCAAGATTACTAGGGAACGGGAATCTTGGAACAAGCTATTTTCCCACGTTTAGACCCCTTCTCGCTTCTCACACCACTGCTCGACCAGCTATGACGCCCAAAAGTGATGAGCCAAATATTGAAACCATGGAGAAAAAGCCGAGAATAGTGCTGAGAGAGAAGAAAAGAGGATCAGCTGCTAGGTAAATTTTCAAAAATTTCCTTAGTATCTCAAACGTTTTCCACCATTTTTCAAATTTTTGTTAAATTGCTGAAATCTTTTGTGCTTCTAGTTTTGAGAAGAGCTTTTTTCCAGAGTAGCAATGAAAGAACAATGGCGTTCATCAAGTACACTTCTCGATAACATCTATCAAGATGTTAGCAAGACTATTCCTACTGTGGAAGCGGTGGGTGCATCTACACTAAGTTACTTTTTCTTCATTGATTTTAGTGAAGTATTATAAGTAGATTATAAAATTGTACTAAATTATGAAAAATATGGACTATTATCCCTTGTTTTTTCCATATTTCTTCATCTT